CCCCCCCCCCGCTTCCCCGGTCGCTTGGAGGGACCACAGTCTTTCTGGTTGGAGCACAGCCCCGCCCCGCACCCGCTTTGGGTGGGGGTCCTCCCACCCAAACTCTCCCTGGCTTCTTCCCAATCTCCATCGCCCGGGACGGCCGCTTGTCCCTGCGCCCCGTGTGTCCCGAGGCCTTCTCTGCAGACCCCCGCCCTCAACTTCTTACCCCGTTTTGGGCAAAAAGGTGCACCGCTTTTTGTCCCAGGCCCAGGCCATGGCGGGTGGGTGGCCGCCGTGGGCCCGGGAGAAGGGCGGAGCGCTGTGCTGGGCCGGGGACGAGGACGGGTGACGGCGGCAACGCCGTGAGTCTGCAGTGTGCGAGCAAGAAGTGAGCGCAGAGCGCCGGGCGAGCAGGTGCCGGTGGCGCGGAGAGCGCAAGAGCGAGCCAGCGAGCAGCAGCCGTGAGTGACGGCAGAGGCGGCAGGGGTGGGGTGGGGTGGGTTGGGAGCGCCCGGCACGACTCAAGGCCCCGGAGGTTTCCGGGGGAGGGAGTGGGGTTCCCGCACCTTGTTCGCTGGCCTCTGCATCCCTACTCGTTCTTCGCGGTCGTGGCCCTCGCTTTACCCGGTGCAAGGGGGAATCCCGAAGCGGCAGGAGGCAAAGGTCGGGTCCACAGCCTCATCCCGGAGCCCACATCTTCCCGCATCCCTGTACCTCTCTCACAGCCTTCGCCCGGAGGCTTCCCCCTCCCCAGCCCTCTGCGGGAGTGCAGTTGGTCCCCAAAGGGAAACGTGAGGGCAGGCTTGTGATTCGGAAGGGCACACACTCGTTTGGTCGAGCCCCACACCTCGGCTTGGATCTCTCTTGCCTCCCTTCCCCACGGGAGACCCCAGTCAGTGGATTTCAGTATCTCTGTCCCTGTCCGCCGGCCCCTACCTCTTAGCTCTGACCTAAGGTTGAGGGGAGAGGACCCCTATGAATTCACGTGTCTGCTATCCCTGCTCACTAGCCTCCCCCAGGCACCTCCAGAGGATTCCCCAAGAGCTGCGGAGAAGGAAGGTGACGGGGGAATACTTCCCAGCAGCTGACTGGGTCTAGGGTGCTCAGGGGGAAGAAGATAGAGGCCCTTTTTAAGCTTTGTCCTTACCAGGTGGGTGCCCTTGGGCAGAGCCATTTACCCCTCATGGGCCTGGGTTTCAGCATCCTCTTCTGCAGCCAAGGAGTCATTCCCACCCACTCAGGCCACTCTTGCTCATTATTGAGCCCTTGTCTGCCAAGGTCTCTGGCCAGGAGGGAAGGAATGCCTGTGGCCTTCGTCTGCTTCCTACAGTTTCTCTCCAGGTGCCCCAAGAAGGCAGTTACCAGATGCCTCTGTCATTTCATCCCTCCCACCCTCCCCAGCTTCCCGTTAATAATCCCAATTTCTTTTAGAAACTGCCTTGGATCACTGAATGTAAAACCCTGCAGGGCCCCACTGCTGTCCTCAGCTTCTGAAGGGAGGGGGCAGACTTGCACTGTACTACACAGATTCTAGGAAAGCGGATTCATTTGGGGGCTGATTCTAAGCAGGGTTATGATGGCAAGAGCCAGCCTACTGTGGAGTGGCCAGCCTAGAGAGGCAGCAATCTCCTGTCCTGATACCACATCCAGGCAGAGATGGATGGCCTGGCCAGTGATTAGGGATGCGCATGGGAAGGATTCCTGCAGCTAGAGGGATTCCTACACCTCGATTACCTTTAAGGTTTATGAATCTTCTAAAATTGTACCACCTTGTGGGTTAAGGTATTTCTTGCCCACCACCTGAGTTGGTGCTATTATTAAGAAGAATTAATAGCTATTCTTTTCCACATACTTTTCACTTACCAGGCACTGGCTACACACTTTCCAGCATGACAACTGAGCAATCCTTCTCAAACAGAAATCAGATTACTCTTCCCCTGCTCAAAACCCTGCAGTGGTTCCCTTTTCATTCAGGAAAAACACCAGTGGCCTCGCAGTGGTTGACAAGGTCAAACCATCTGCCTCCCACCCCCTCCACCTTGCTCTGTCCTCATCTCATGTTTTCTGTCTTTTTCCTGATCACACTCTTCTGGCCACACTTCTCACAATGTCAGGCACAGAGTGTGCTCCCACCCCAGGGCCTTTGCACCAACTGTATCACCTGACTGAGAGTTGATCCTTCCCCAGATACCTAGTTCACTAACTCTATCATGTTCTTCTGATTTTAGCTAAGAATTCAGTGAGGTCCACTGGGACCACCATTTTAATATTGTAATCTGTACTCCACCCCCGCCCCAGCCCGCACACTCCCAGTCTCTCATTCTGCTCTTCTTTTTCTTCTTTCCTTAGCACTAAACTCCTTCCAACATATGGTCCAATATCCTTGTTTATAGTTTCTTGTTTGTGGTCTGTAGATTCTACTTAATGGTGCTTTTTTGGTTGCTTTGTTCGCTGACATATCTCCAGTACCTAGAACAGAGTCTGGCATTGAGCAGATGGTCAGTAAACATTTGTGGAGTGAATGAATGAGCTCCTTTAACCCCTGTAACGGTGGGTACCTATCCCTGCGGGGTAGGCATTGTGATTTCATCTCGTTTTAGAGATGTGTTGGCTGAAGCTCAGAGAACTTAAGGAACTAGCCTGAGATCACGCAGCCGAGTAAGGCTTCAACCCAGGTCTGTCTTATACTAGGGTCCTAATTCTTAACTAAAACACCTCAATTTTCCCTACTCCAGGTGAGACTCTTGTCACTGTACCTGGAGTTGGTGTAGAGAGTGAGGCCCCTTTGCCCTTGACTGATGGCAGCCTGGTGCAACGTCTTCCCCAGTTTTCAGTGGGAAATCACAGCAGCTCTGTGGTTGAAAGGGTCTGTTTGCTCTTCTGTCCTGTCCTGTAGGCTGCGAGGCCGCAGCTGCATCTTTCTTCTCCGTGTCTTTAAGTCCAGCTGGGCCTGACCCACGCTTGGGGCTGTGTGACTGTGGGAGCCAGGAGCAGTGTTGGGAGTGTGGGGAAGGGGGCTTTGCCCCTTCTTTCCTGGCTTTCCTGGTGGGCAGGGCAGGGACTCCTGCCTCTTTGACCGAGCCCTTTGGCCAGTTTCAGTGAGCTGAAACCAGGCAGCAGCCCCCACCCCCAGCAGTCCTTGCTCATGCCTGGCTGGCCTGCCTTTTGCCAGTTTCTTCTCACTGTGTCATGGTGGGACATGGTCTCACTTGGAAGCTCTGAAGAAGGCATCTGTGATGGAGCATGTATGCTGCTTCCCCAAAGGACAACTACCCTCTGGGGACACAGCTCCTCAGCCCTACCAACTACCAGTGTCCCTTGGGCTTCCACAGAGATGCCCTGTTTAGAGGGAATGTTGGCTGTATGAAATGAAACCCGTCTCCCACTGATGGACCCGTTAAGAGCATTTTAGAACTGTTGTGTCTCCTGAGTGCTCATTGATAGGTAGTGACAGGCACCCTTTGGGCTGCCAGGTTTTTCCCTCCCTCTTTCCATCCATAGGCTCTGAAATGCCTGGGGTGGGTCACTGTGTACAAGGACCTGGAGGTGAACCCCCCTGTAACGTGACCAGCAGGCGCTCGGTCCATCTGACCCACGGGCTCGGGTGTACCTGGGGGCTTGCTTGTGCCCTTGGCTCTCTCCCTCACGCCTGCCGTCATCACATGCTGTTCTGATCGCGCACTGTGAGTCGAGGTATGCAGCGCTTGTCAATACCATTTTGTGGATGAATTCACTGGACTCTCAAAGACACTTCAAAAGCACTTTTTAAAAAGACTGCCCAGCCTCTCCTGAAAGCACTCTTAAATTACAGCCCTAAGTAAACGTTTTTCCTGGAACTCCCTTTCAAAATTTATTTTAATGTTCAGGTCTTGGAAGTTTGGTTTCAGTATTCTTGCCTCAGCTGACCTTCCTGTCCCCTCCGTACCATGTATAGCAACAGTGATTTGGGGTAATGTATTTTGATCTTAAGATGCAGCCCATCCATAAACTTTTCTATCAATAATCCTGGCTACACTCTGTGTACCCTACAGCTTAAAGGAAAAATCAGATTTATGGAGACTTTTACTTTTGGCCAATTTAGTCATTCATTTGCTGTCAGTGTTGACGGATAAAAGGCCTGAAGTCCAGCTCCAGGGAGACTCCCCTCCAAGGGTGCGTCTCAGGTCAGCTGCTTCAGATGTGGGGCGGTGGGTGGGGGCGTGGCCCTCTCTGGGCCCTTGTGGTCTCTGTCCTGGATGATGGGAAGGAACTGATGACTGAGTGCCCCTAACATGTGGGGGGAGGACAATGGGGCTCCAGCCCCCACAGAGGCAGGAGAAGGTTCTGCTCTCACAGGCCACACGGCTGTGAGGGAGGCCGGCCTGCCCCCTGGCTGTGTGCACTCGGCAAAGCGGGCCCGGCTTGCAGTCAGCCTGTGCTGTGTCAGCAGCAGTTGGGGACCCAGAGCTGTCAGGCTCACAGGTCTGACCTATCACTGCTGTGTCATTATCACCATGCTGGGTCCCCTGAGCCTTGGGCCGTTTGTTTTCTTTTCAGAAACAGGATTGACTGGGCTTGGGGGCTGTCTAGAGAGACGGAATAAGGGGGAGAAACTCCAGGCAGAGCCTGTTTCACCTAAAAATTTATTCAGCCAGCCTGTCCTGAGACCCTCATCACTCACATATCTGGGGGCACTAACTTTACGGTGTGCCTGGTGCTGGGGAACCCACAGCATCCTGCCCGTAGGGAATCTGCATTTCAGCCCAGAAAGGGGCAGGGACACATGTGCAAAGAGGAAACAAAAGCTAAGCCTGAGCATGTCAGCCAGTGATGAGGAACGTGCAGCCCGCAGCCCGCACACGGGCGTACTCACGCACACGCACACGGAGTGGGGGCTCCGGGGGTCAGGGGAGATGTGAAGCGCCAGCCAGGCAAAGACCTGGGAGAGGAAGAGTGCTGC